GTTTAGGCACGGTTTTAACACGTGAAAAAATTATTTAATTTTCGAAACGCCATGATTTTTAAGAATTTTTCGCTTTCATCGACTGCCCGTTCAGAAACGACAGATCGTGACGACGGTGAACCTGTAGCCCGAAGCTCGGAATTCCCCTTCTACGTTGGTAGATGCGACAACTAATCATGCGATGCGGTCCGTGACTCGGCCGGAAATAATTCAGCGGTAGCGAATGTCGGCAGTTACAACAAACGTTCGATTTTATAATGCTTTCGCGGTTATACGCATTACCCCGCTACAAGTATTCATTGGTTACAATCATACGTATGACTGGGTGACAGTCTACACGTCCGGCCTACGTACTGTGGCGCTCAAATATCATGTAGCCATGGCTGCTTAACTTGCCCTCTTCTCCACCTCAGGCGATTAGCAAGGGAGCAGTGCGTCGCTAACCTTCATCAGCTTTACATTACGACGATGCAGAGTAGTATAATTTATTCTGTATAGGTGGCCGAAAATATTTTCAGCCTTCCGCATCATCGATGTGGTTCCAACTGATGTCAGACGTCACGCACACATGACGCTGGAATGCACAAGGATACAACATTTACACGACAGTGTTAAAAAGGCACGAAAATGCTAGAGGAAACCAAGATCTTTCTTTCACGATTGCTTGTAATTTTTCAAGAGTTGACTGCACTCGTTCTCAATGTGCACACCCGGAAAATCTAAGATACTCGAAAAATTCGTTGCTACCTAGTTCGGCACTCATTCCATTCTTATCGATGTCCGACAGTTAGTTTCAGACATACTCTTCTACCAATGCTGAATGCTCACACTCAACACCCATTAATTTACTCCGTGCCTTCAGTCACGCTGAAATACTGTCAACAAAATATTCGCGCCCTTGAAGTTTGGCATAACCGAACTGCTTAGCGATAGTCGTTCATTTTTGAGGCTTCTTTCCACCCAATAGCCCAACTTGCAAATCAGTCGATACGACAGCATCGCGAACGAAGCAAGCAAATGAATCATTGCTAGGACTAAGAAACAGCCTGGTGTGAACGAAATAGCTGAATGGCCGGAAAGTCAGAAACGCAACGCGTATAACACTGGTCCCGATTCTGCCTCCGTCAGTCTACCCTAGAATGCACACAATCTAAACAGCTGAACAAAGCAAGCATCTGGGAAAGTAACGAACGAATGAGCGCATTCTCCTCCGACGTCACTGCGAGGTGCGAGGTACGGCTCGCCATGAACTCAGAAACGGTTCCGTCGGCTAACAAACGAAAGATAATTCGGGTGTAGCGGAATCAGCTCTCCACATTACGATTCTGATAGGATCAAACGGTTGCTCTTCGTGCTGGTCGGCGGGGACATGGTGAACGATGACGATCGTTTAACGATATGCTGAATTGAACGTACGCTTTTCCGCGAGGATCGCACAAGACCGAGAGAAGTACAGAGTAATTATACATCGCGCCATCTCCACGCTGAACAAAGGACGAGACAATCATTTATTGACAAAAGACTTGACTACACGGAAACATGAAGAGTGTACCAGCTTACGAAACATCGTTCGAAGAGAGCGTGAGGTAGTTCCAACGAACAAAATGTTCTAAGATGCAGCTGGCAAGGACAGTGCGAAAACACCGAAGAGCCGTAGCCTGCATGACAGGAAGAAGGGGTAGGTGCACAATAGGCCGTGAAATCTGGTCATGGAGGAGTTATGCGTCATCTAACAGAATACTAATAACTGAAGGTACACATGGACTCTTTCTGTATGGGTGAACTGGGTGTATGTGTGTATGGGTGAACTGCATCACTCGTTCAACATGAGACACGAGGATTTAAATCTATCAGTCAGAGTTCCTGGTCCGTTCCATTAACCTCTGCAAGATGCTTGTTCTCTAAAGCAATAACCCCCGCCGTCTTCCCGCCACTGAATCGTCATTGAGCGGACAATGATCACTTCTCTGTGATCCATTGAGCAAAAAGACAACTCTACAGCCACAAAACTGCCACCACGCAATTAATTAGAAACGCAACCAACATGTGAATAAAAGAGACCATGAAACCGTGAATTCGTTTTTCTGTCATTCGACCACTGATCACCTCTTGCGTCACTTCGCACAGCTTGATGGCGTTACTGACGTCAACTAAGCGAAATCGCTTTCAAAGCGTTTCTCGATTTCATCGCTCTTGACACGGTCGATCAGTGAATGTCAATTGCACATCGTCATGTCGTCAGATTTAACGGAAAAACTCCACCTAAGGCATGAGCTCATTTGCTACCCTGAATGAAAATCTTCTGCATTTTGCATCCATTCATCGCACTAGCGTCACACTCATTATCCAAATTAAGTCGCTTCCGATTTTCCGCAGCGTCTCGCATCTGACACGACTGATGTTCTCAGAATTTTTCCAGATCTATCCAGCCATTGAGCGCCCGTGATTCAGATTAGTCGCCTCTTTTGCAGTCGACCTTCGTCTCGCCATCCACCTCACAACCTAACTGAACAGCGAAATCTCTTTATCTGTATATATCTGTTATCAGAGAGAAACTTCATTGTCACTTGAGCGCTCTAAAAGAAGTGAGCACAACGATACATATTCCGCATTTATATGCATAAAAATATGTGAAATCTGATCATGGAGGAGCTGCGTACCGATGATTCCTGATATGTGAAGCTCTGCTTTC